GGAGGCCTCACTGATGATGTTACCCAGCATGGTGATGAAACGTCTGAACGAGAACAAGCCAGCTCGGCGAGCAAATCAATAACCTCATCCACAACCCGAGCTACAGATCTTTGCCAAAACTTTAAACTGACTATGTTATACTTGTTTTCATCTGTACGCAATTAATTCATCCACATTATAGCAAATACTCTGTGTATTAAGGCACAAAGTCTTAAGGCTTGACTTTTTAACATTATTCATTCAAATCCTGTTAATTTTCATCATGACCCTGTTTGATGATGGCTTTTGATTTTTCTGCCTGCCACCTTCTTATCCCCACTTTCTGTTTTTTATTCTTACCCTTAGTTCCCCTTCCTCTGAATCATTGCGTAGGTTCCCATTTTAGGTTAAACCCTCCCCAAACACAATAACAAATAATCCCTGTAGGACGCCAGTTCTGGTCCTGCCCAGGTGTAACCCGTCCAGTCTGTACTGGACCCACCTCCTCCTGAACAAGTCCTATTGCCTTAGGAATCTGAAAACCTTCTCCCCCCGACACCAGCTCTTCAGCCACGTGTCTACCTGATATATGCTGCTATTTTTATTCTGACTAGCACACAGCACCAGTAGAAATCCTGAGATCACTACCTTTCAGCTCCTACTTGACAACTCACTTCCTAACTACCTATATTCTGCTTTTAGGATCTCATCCCTTTTTTTGAAACCTATGTCGTTAGTGCCACTGTGTGCCATGCGCACAGGCTATTCACCCTCCCCTGTAACCACTCTGAGACATCTTTGACCCTAACACCAGGGAGGCAACATACATGCTAGAATGTCATTTGTAGCCACAGAAACACCTCTCTATTCCCCGTTCAATTGAATCCCCTATAGCTATCGTATTCCCACACTTTCTCCTCCTCTCCCATGAAGCAGAGACAACTATGATGCCATGAATTGGGCTGCTTTCCCGTGAGAGGCCATTCCTTTCAACAATTTCCAACGAGGTGTATCTGCTTCACAGGAGGATAGCCACAGGGTTCCTGCTCTGCCTGGTGGGTCACCCATTCCCTTCCTTCCTGAGAATCCTCCTTCACTGTATGTGCTATCAGAGGGCGGTGCAGCTTTGGAACTGTGTACCAGAATGCTGAGGAGGTGGGGGGTCTTTGAATATTTTTAAAGACAGAGATAGATTGATTCTTGTTGGGCAATGAAATATTATCGAGGAAAAATGGAAATGTGGAATTTGAAACAAGTAGATCAACTACAATTTCACTGAATGGGTGAGCAGGCTGGAGGGGCTAAATGGCCAACTCTGCTCCAGATTCTTATGTCCTTACATCCTTACATCCTCACATCCTCTTCCCGTGACAACATGATGCATATGGTCAGTGGTGTCTGGGTAACACTGGAGCCCTGGAGATCTGCCCTGGAGTCAAACAGGGTCTGCTTTGGGCAGTGACATTCTTTGGTAAATTCTTCTCTTCGTCAATATTATGGAGTGGCTCAGGATCAGAGCTGGATCCTCGTCTCTTCACAACCTGTATCAATGATTCAGACAAATGACTGAGGTCTGAATGTGCCGATGACACTAAGATAAACAGGAAAGTAAACTGTCGAGAGGAGGCAGTCAGCAAAGGGATAGAAAGTAAGTGTGCAGTTGGACTATAATGTGAGTAAATTTGAACTTTTCTCTTCTTCCTGACAAAATAGACGAGTAAATTACTTACACAGAAGGTGATTGCAGAACTCAGTGGCACAGAGGGATCTGGGTGTCCTGTTATGTGAATCACAAGGCATTAACCTGTACTGGGGGCCAAGCACCATTATCATTAAACTATTAATCCAGGAAACTCAGGTAACGTTCAAGGTAGCAGCCCTACAGCTCGGCCCTGCTCATCGGAGAGATGGCAGACATTTACCCAAAGGCCTTCTGTATGGTGAACTGACCACAGGGTCACCACCTCCTTCACCCCCCATGTCCCTACTACAGGGACACAGTAAGAGAGCTGTGAAGGTGGTGGGTCACTGAAAACAGGGAGACAGTTACTGACAGCTGTGACCTCTGAAAGCTGACTGTTTGGAAGTGGTTTGGAGGAGATGAGGAGAAATGGACAGCTCAGCTTGCCAAAAGGAGGACCCAGAGAAAACAGAGGACAGTGCACCCTGCACCTTCTCAGCCCCATTGCCTTCACCTACAGCAAATATGGCAGCAAGGCTCCTGCAGATTGGAACACTAGGTGATGTCTAATACAGAGCAGACCACTATGGAGCAAGCCAACACCTTACAAAATTCCACTGGATTCAAGCTGTAAACAGTGCATTGTGCCCTGTGTGTTAGCTGCTGACACAGTGCTTGTCAGTTTGTGCACAGCAAGATATCACAAACAGCAAAAAGTTAAATGACCAGTTTATCAAACTGTTAATTGAGCAGTAAATATTAGTCTGGAATATTGGAGAAAATGTGTCCTGCAATTTTCAAATAATGACTATTAGATCATCTACATCGAGCTAAGCTGACAGACAGGGCCTTGTTTTACCAAAAGCAACTCTGGCAGTGCATAACTCCCTCTCTTACT